ATACATTACCAAAGTGCCTCAAGTTAAGTTGTGTTATTGTTGCTGCGTCTAGAGATTTACAAACATTTACAATCTGCGTCTCGGGCCTGCATTATGGATTATCGCTGGTGCAGTATCAGTAGACTTCATTACTGAGGGAATAGCCTATCTGGTGTTCACATATTAGATCAAAGCTCTCAATGCAAGACATAAAGTAGCTCCCTGCAGGGAACGAGCACTCATCAAAAGCAAAGACAGTGTTTAATCCAGCCAGTTATTCCACAGCTGACAAGGACAAATTCTCTGAGCCTTTTATAAACATCAACTTATCAGTGAGGAACATACGTCGCTACACAAGATGCCTACACAATTCGTCCAAAGGCTCCCATATACAAGTTAACACAATGTTAGTGAGGGTCATATTAGTCTACAGCAGGGTAGTCAGCTGGAATCGATGACCACTGATATACATATTGTGACTCCTTATTCTTTAAAGTTGCATAAAACCGTGTGCAGATTTGATGAGCACGATGAGGAAACAAGCTGAGATTTGTGTTAATGAATCAGCTTGAGTGCGTGAAATCAAGCGCCAGCCTACCAGCATCTCATTTACATATTGTTTACCTGACACACGCCCTATTTCATGCAGAGTTTCGGTAGGGAACCAATAAAATGACAGTATTCAGAGGCTTATGAGCCAGTGGCTGTGCTCATAGTCTACTGCTCCACCTACTGACCATACTTTATAGTGTTAAAATTACAGTGATTAGAAAGAATAAAATGTGAAAAAAAAACAAAGCATCTGTTTTTAAGATGGCAGAATGATGTGATTGTGTTTTGTGACAATGTTTCTAAAATAACATTCTTTTTTATTACTGCAGTGTATGGGATGATTCTGCACTAACTGTGTTTTGTATTGTTTATATGTCTTTAAATATAACATGGAATAGTTACAGCTTTTGTTTCTACAAGTAATGCACTGCGTAATATGTCTTTAAATAGAATACTGAGTAGTTGCAGCACTTGTCTGTACCAACATGCATGACAAATACACTATATGGCCAAAAGTATGTGGACACCTGACAATCACACCTTTATGAGCTTGTTGGTCATCCCATTCCAAGACCCTGAGTATTAATACGGAGTTGGCTCGCCTTTGGGGCTAAAACAGCCTCCGCTCTTCTACGAAGGCCTTCAACAAGGTTTTGGAGTGTGTCTGTGGGAATTTGTGCCCATTCAGTCAAAAGAGCATTTGTGAGGTCAGACACTAAGACATGGCTTTCAGTTGATGTTCCAGCTCATCCCAAAGGTGTTCAGTGGGGTTGAGGTCAGGGCTCTGTGCAGGCCACTGGAGCTCCTCCACACCAAACACGTCAAACTATGTCTTTATGGAGCTCACCTTGTGCACAGGGGCTCAGTCATGCTGGAACAGGAAAGGCTCTTTCCCCAAACTGCTGCCATGAAGTTGAAAGCATAAATTGTCTAAAATATCTTTGTGTGCTGTAGTATTGATATTAACCTTCACTGGAACTAAGGGGCCCAAACCCTGAAAAACATCCCCAGCTCATTATCCCTCCTCCACCAAACTTTACTGTTGGCACTATGCATTCTGATAGTGGATTCTCCTGGCGTCCACCAAACCCAGATTTGTCCATCAGACTGCCAGACAGTTCAGTGTGATTTAACACTCCAGAGAACCCATTTCCACAACTCCAGAGTCCAGTGGTGGCGTGCTTTACACCACTCCAGCCAATGATTGGCATTGTGCAAAGTGATCTTGGGCTTGTGAGCAGCTGCTCAGCCATGGAAACCCATTTCATGAAGCTCCTGACACACAGTTATTGTGTTGGTTTTGCTTTCAGAGGCAGTTTCTGAACTCTGTAGTGAGTTATGCAAAAGAGGACAAGTCATTTTTAGGCACTATGGCCTTCAGCACTCGACAACACCACTTTGTGAGATTGTGTGGTCTAATGCTTTGTGGCTGAGCTGTCATTGCTCTTAGATGCTTGCACCTCACAATAATACCACCTACAGCTGACCAGAGCAGATTTAGCAAGGCAGAAATGTGACAAACTGACTTGAGGCAAAGGTGGCATCTTATGACATTGCCACATTTTAAGTCAATATGGCAACATAACCTGTTTATGCTAAAATGTTTAGCTGCACACCTTAGGGCTGCTTTATGCTTGCACATATTGTATAAGACCATTTATACGCAAAAGATGGATGCATTTCTATTCCCCATAGAAGCTCAGGGGAGGTAATGTTCATGTAACATCATACTTTCGCAACCCACATTTCACAGAAACTGACCACAATCATTTTAGAACCATGAAAAGCTGAAATCAAATATCTTATGCAGAAATGTACTTGACTTCTCATTTACTGGTTACAGCAATGCAAAGGCCTGCCTGGCTGAACTACGACCACAATCAAATCAACAACAACCTAACTAATCATCACAATAACCACACTGTGGCGTTATGCAAATCAACCCTGAAGGCGCCCAATCAGGGGCGGCCGTCAACAAAAACAGTGGGGACACAGTGTGCAGCTTGCTAAGTAATGGACCCTATAATATAAACTCAGCTGGAATTTTGTTGAAACAGAAAAATATCTGTGCAGTTCATTAGAGCTGTCACGCAAAGGGATTATGTGTTCATACGCAGCAAAAGAGAACAAAAAAAAATCACACTCAAATCAAAATCACTGACTACATAAGCTTCTTATATTGGACTCTATCAGCGGGCATGTCATGTCAACACTGTTCACCTCACCTCAGGTGAACCACATTCTGGAGGTGGGCGATATGGCAAAAATGTAATATCATGATACTTGAAGTTTTCAAAATACATGCCATAATTTTTGTTTCATGAAATCTGATAAATTGGAATAGACGAAGTAGTGCTACCTTATACTATAAGGTATAAAATACTATAAAAAAAACTATGGATCCAATATTTTTATTCACATTTTATACACTGTGCTGCTCTAAATCTGGTTAATCAGGACTAATTATGCTCTCTTTAATCAAGTATGTGTTTGGGAAGTTGTTTTTTAAATACAGACGATATCCACAACATGCTCAGAAAAGCATATTGTGACATATTGTGATGTAATTAATCACAATGATGGTAAATATTGTCATATTGCCCAGCTCTACCACATCCTTTACTGCTTTTTTTAAAACCTTCTTTTATTTCAAGGTGTTTTTGACTCCATGCACCTGCTGTAGACTGAATGCCATATTATTAAACACAAAACGGCTTACAACAGATTTAAAACAACAGAAGGGATTCAGTTTACCAGTTCAGAACTGTCTGTTTCAATCAACCAACTGTTCAGTTCAGCTTTTCATCAGCCCGATTCTGAATCGGTTCTATGGATGTATTGAAAGGAACCGGTTCAAAAGAGTCGATTCTTTAACGAGTCGGACTCAAACATCGATGCTGAGTGACGGTTAAGGACAAATTATGTAACTTCATAAAAAAGTCGTCCCTAAATGAACCCAGGACGGGAACATAATGTCAAAGCGCGAAAGAAATGTTTTCTTATCATATTGAAGAAAGAGCAAAATACACCATGTTAATTTCAGTCTCAACTCATTGTGGATAAATGGGTTGTTAACGGCTCCTCTAGAATCGTTGTGAAGCACCTTAAAGGGGAATTCCACCGATTTTCCAAAATTTATGAATAATTCAGTCCTTGAGATGTACGAGTCATTCAAAATGGCTTGATGTGAAATGGTTCATTGTAGAGAAACTTGCAGGCCCTGATTTCTTTACAGTGGTGGTGATAGGAACTACAACACAGCCGTTTTATTTACCAGTGTCTTATATGTAATATTGATGATGGTAAAATAGTGATAAATCTGACAAAACAATCTTTCTTCGGGAACTAATATGCCTCACAACACCCTGCACGAACCCCTCCACCATGAATGAGTTAAAATAAATGGATTCGCCAAAACTTTATCACAAAACTGTCCCAGACATCAGGCAGCGTTCGTAACTGTCTCATATAATAACGTTAGCTTTCTGTGAAGGAGCTTTCAGAGGTGGACGTCTGGTTCCTATCACCACCACTGTGAACAGTTCTGACTCTGTAAGTTTCTCTAGTATGGAGCATTTCACACCAAACCACTCTGAATGTCCTTATTCACATCTTTGGCCATTAAATAATGTAGAATTTTCGAACAGAAATCGGTGGAGTTCCCCTTTAGCTAGCACAACGGCTCCTCATCAACAGGCTAACGGTTCTCGCTAACTTCTTTACCTTGGGTTTTCTGACAGGTTGGTTCACTGTAAGCCACACGTTTAGGTTTCTGCTGTGTAGTGAAACCGTGTGTGAGCATTTCATGCTTCGGTAAAGATTAAACATTAATATTTCACTGCGTTTTTAACGCGGCTCTCAGGCATTTGAGTCCAAAAGTGTAGAGAGGAGAACGTTTCTGAATTCGAGATGAGTTTTGGTCAGTCAGCGATACCAGTTACGTTACCCTGCAGCATACTGTATTATTTTCATGATTACTGTGTGATATTTAGTTGGGGGTAATGAAATAATCAATTCCATGGTCTAACAGCCTGTGTCCAAACTGCCTCTCTCTCTCTCTCTCTCTCTCTCTCTCTCTCTCTCTCTCTCTCTCTCTCTCTCTCCTCTCTCTCTCTCTCCCTGTATCGTCCAGTGAATGAAAACACAAGCAGCTGATGGTGTGAATGAAGTGATCAGGGCTAAAGGTGCAAGGGATCCACTACTGCATTTTACAGAATCGTACATAAAACAATAAAGATTTTTGAAATTTAAGGCTGTTATTAAGTAATAATAATAATATAATATATACTATATATATATATATATATATATATATATATATATATATATATACTGTTTGTAACATTCTAGTTTCTAGGTGCTGAACCTCGTCATGTTGATGTAAATGTGTCTTTTTAAAAGAAAGTTGTGCTGTTTTTTCTTCTCACAGGTGAGAAAGAAGCTCGTGAAGGAAAAAAGCTGTAGCTCACCTGCATTTTGCCGTTGGCTGTGAGGAGCCCCTCCTGAAGGACAGAGCAGAAAAATCCCTGTGGATTCCCAGTAGAAGGGCCAGAGGTATGTTCACTCAGCTCCGGCGGAGGGAGCGAAAGAGAGCGAGGGAAGGAATGCCCAAGCACTGAGCCTCTCTCCACACAGGAGAGAGAGTAAAGAGAAGGGGAGAGAAAGAGAGAGAGAGAGAGTGTGTGAGTAAAGAGAGGAGGGAGAGAAGAGGGAGAGAGAGGGAGAATGAAGAGAAGGGGGGGGGGTTGAGAGAGAAGAGGGGCGGAGGAAGATAAGAGAGCGAAAGAGCAAGAGGGAGGGAGGGAGACGAAAGAGAGAGAGCGAGAGATGTGCTGTCATTTTGTCACTTACCCTTTAAGATTTTTTCAAAATTTACAAATTATGCTCATTATAATATCACATTAGCACTGCTTGCTGTCTCGGCCCATTAGTTTTGATGAATAATCCAGCTAAATTGATGGGATATTAAAGGGGAATTCTGCCAATTTTTCCAAAAAATCTTCGTAATTCAATGACTGTGATGTAAACAAAGTGGTTTGATGTGAAATGGTGTGTTGTAGAGAAACTGACCAGCTCTGATTCTTTACAGTGATGGTGATAGGAACCAGGGGTCACAATGAGTGTGTTTACATACACTCAATAATTTGATCATAATCGGATTTCTGCAGTTATCCGATTATCTAAATGGTCATGTAAACACCATGCTCCGATCTAGAGATCCGATTTAGAAATCTGTTAAAGAGAGCTGGATTTTAGCTCAGTAATCAAATTTCTCAGTGCATGTGAACTCTTACTCTGATTTCTTTCGGATTTCTCAGTCTGCACAGGTGTGAAAATAGAAGGCGGTACTGGAAATAAGCAAGCAGCGTCGCCGTGAGACTCAGCAAAACACTTTTGGAGCGACGCGGAAACCAAATACATTTTCGACGAAATGAAGGATTTAAATATTCTTCATCTTCTAGATGACGTATGTTCATATTTTCAGGTAAAGTGGCTCCATTTTTTTAAAAAAAAGCTGCGGCATTTTTACGCTACATTTACATCATGTCCTCTTCTGTGAGTTTGGGCTGGTTGTAAAGCAGAAATCTGATTATTGTCTGATTCATGTAGATCTGGAGTTTTCCCGTTATCTGATTACTCAAATGCATATAAATCATTATTGGGATTACTGACAAAATCTGAATTTCTGCAGTTATTAGATTATTAGCTGCATGTAAAAGCGCTGAGTGTCTACACCACAAATATATTTCATTTAGTTCTCCTCAGGTACTATTTTGAATGCCCTGCTTGTAATGAATGGATTTAAAAATGCGTTTTAGGCTAAAATCTAACTCAAAACTATTAGAAAACAACAGCTCAGGCATCAGATTTGCAGGCATTTTGTGTTGCTGTAGCCTGCAGAGGTGTTAAACCCTTTAAACGTCTGGTTCCTATCATCACCATTGTGAACAATTCAGAACAATTCGGACTCGAGAGTGGAGCACATCACATTAAACCACTCAGAATTACTTTGTTTTCTTCTTAACCATTTCATTACGCAGACAAATGAGTGGAATTCCCCTTTAAATAAATGTATATAGGATAAGAAAAGGCTGCACTCCTGCAGCACCCAGCTTAATCCCACACATTCATTTCAAGTTTGTACTGGCCAAGTTTTTTTATGTAAGGGAGTCCCAGAATCCTCACTGAATTTTGAAAATATCGTGTAAATTGTTTCTTACAGTGCATATTCGCATTAATTTGGGCGACCTTGGTTTCGCCTTGGACCGTGACGGGGCTGGAGAGAGGGGAGGAGGGCTGAATAGCAATCACAGCCGCCCAACTGCTGCCTCCACACGTCCACGGTGTATTACTAGACCAGCTCAGCATTGCAAATAGCCTACACCAGTTGCAACAGCTGCAACAGTCATCTATGCAGAAAAAAGGATGCATTGAATTTACTTGAGTCGGTCATTTCCTCATACTACGTTTGCTTTTCGGTTCAGTTACCTCATAATGAAGGTGCTGACACATTCATTTTTATTCAAATGGAAAGATGAACACGTTTAAATGAAGTAAATTAAATGCAGCACCTTTTCAGTGTTTCTAGCAGTCTGGCTCTGTGCGGTCTAAAAGCACTGGACCCACAGAATAACTCATCTGATAAAATCTTAATGGCTAAAAGTGCTGCTGAACTGATGGATTTTAAAGCTGTCATTGACATGGTTGAAGAATTGAACTGGAAGTTATCAGCAGTTTGATAGGAATGAAGGTCATTCTTTGTAGCATCCAGGTTACAGAGCTTAGCGGACTGGGACGCGTTATTAATGAATTTTTTAATGCTTTCTCTTCTGTTACCAACACACAGAGGTCAAGCGGCTTAACTCAGATGACAACTAGTGACTGACCCCTTAGTAGACGGTGAAAATGTCATTTGGTACTGCGCGTCTGACCATCCGGTCGGGCAAGCGTCAACATCTCTCCTGTATCATAAAATCGCTCAGCAGCCTTCTTTTGGGTCAGTTTACTTATACAAGCTCTGTCACAAATGCATTCATAGTTACAACTCAAAATATCTCACTTTAGACTATTATTATTATTATTATTATTATTATTATTATTATTTTAATGCCACTTTTCAGTTTAGTTTTTCAGTGATCCACATTTTTTACACAGGTATATAAGCACAACGTTGGAGAGATAAAATACTATGACCTAAATGAAATAACAGCACAATTAAAGCACTTTTTTTAAAAAAAAAGATAGATGTGCATTTTTTTTGTATTTGCATGAATCTGTTCAAAATATTGATGTTGGTTTTCTAGCTTTTATAATTGTAGAAATTAATTATTAAGATCATCATTTCACTTGACTTAGGAGACACATGTAAAATGGTGTACAGAGAGTTTACAGCTGCTGAAGTTGCCACAGCGGTTTTGGAAAGATAACGGAGCAGTTTGGTATGAAACATCTGAGCATCGTGTCATTTCGCTGTTGTCGGAAGAAAACCTTGTATCTCCAAAATGGTAACTTTACAGGAAAATGAAAAAACACGTTACTTTCAATGTAAGTCAATAGAACCAGACATTTTCCAAGTTTGGGCCATTTCTTTTGGTCCATTCTTCATGAGATTTACACACAGTGTAAAGGACAACTGACATTTTCAAATTATGTCAGAAACTGAAAAACAACAAAAATGGAGATACGAGGTTTTCTTCTGACAGCAGCGATATGCAAGTGCCTCTAAAGGACAGTTTAAAGAGATATGCAAAAATTGGGAAAATGTCCTTAGACCGCAGAGGGTTAAATAATACAGGGTGATTCAAAAAGATTCATCCATTTTTTAAAGCGCCATATTTTTACAACCGTGAGACGCCTAGGAACCAATCGCATACCAATTGAAAGAGAGGGTCACACAGACCCTCAGAGTTTCTGACCGCCACCAGAAGATGGCTCCCTTCAGTCTGCAAGGAGATGCGACCCCTAAGCAGAAAGCGCTCTGCGTTCTCCACTTCAATAAGAGTGAATCCATCATAACTGTGCAGTGTGATTTTGGTCGTCAGTGAACCTCCTCAGAGCGTTCGGCGTTGGTTCCACAACACTGGATGATCTCTGAAATCGCACTGAAAGAGCCGTGAGTGCAGCGACACCCGACATGCTCAATCCAGTATGGGATGAATTAGACTATGGTGTTGATGTTGTCTGTACAGCTGGAGGAGGTTCATATTGAGCACTTGTACAATCACATAATAAACTTTATGCTCATTTAAACCATTTACAGTTTACTGCATTGATCTGTAACGATTTACAAGTGAAATGTTCATTTTGAAATCGAATTAATCTTTTTGAATCACCCTGTATTTATTTTGTATGTGTGCGAAAGGTCAGACTGTTAGAACAGATTGGGGGTAGTTTTTTTATGTAATTAAGGTAACATTTCAAATTCATTGTTGTTTGTGTAGCTTCAGTTAGCTACAACAAACAGTCCAGCTAAGTAGAGTACCGTTAAGTAGCCACTCTAAACAGTTTCTCATTAGGTCAGTTGAATTTTGGCCAGAATTTTGTAATGCTTGTCCAACGGGGTCAACTGAATGCAAAACCTTCAAATCTTCTTGGTTTGCTCTTCTCGGCTGATTTGGGTACGACACCCCTGTATGAATCCTAACATGAACTATTATGGGAGGAACTGTATAATGAAAAGACGACTTCTAAAGATACCCAGGCCATGATTTATTCCCAAGGTCAGATGGGCAAATCCCTGAGTATGTGTCATCACATGCAGTCCATATATGGAAATAAACTGCAGAATCAGGCTGTTATAAATTCATTGTTTCTGTGATGTCATGGGAACCAACTCACTTACATAAATATGCCTATTCATGAATATGCATCAAGCATATTAGCCCCGCCCACCCACACTGAAGTTATAAGGAGCGTTTCAGCCTGGACTGCTTTTTGAAGGGGCGCAATACAGGACAGCCAATCAGAATCTTAAAGGCACTGTAACAAAAGCAGTTTATTTTAAGGGATAAATAGAGGTTGGAAAATGGTCATGTACAAATTAATTAGGACTGACTCACTAGGCGGGCAGCACGGTGGTGCAGTGGGTAGCGCTGTCACCTCACAACAAGAAGGGCCTGGCTTCAATTCCCCAGCCTGGGGATGACCAGGGTCCTTTCTGTGTGGAGTTCGCATAAACCATAGGTATAAATGTGTATTTCTGTGTGTCTGACCTGTGATGATCTGGCGACCTGGCCATAACGTTTCCTGCCTTCTGCCCAGTGACTGCTGGGATAGGCTCCAGCTTAGATGAATGAGTGATTAATTAGGTCCACAGAGGGAAAAAAATAAGATAAAAGTAAAATTCAAGTAGAATACGGGCTCCTTAAATATGATGTTTCAGTCATTTTCTTGTAGCAGAGCAAAGAACTATTAAACGGTCTTACCTTCCCTTTGTGTCCCAATCAAAACCATCAGAACGGACAAACTATCAGAAAGCAGAGACCCTCACACCTCCATCCGAGCGGCTTTCTGGGGTCAGTTTGGTTGCAGTTACTCAAGCTCTTCGCACTACGAGAGAGAGCACAGCAAACCTCCAGATCTTGATTTCTGCATTGTCTGATGGGACTTTAGCGCCTGCGTTATT